TATGTATTTTCAAGTATGAAGATGCATATGAATATTGTATAAGATACATATTAGAAATCACATTTTTAAAAAAAGGCACAAGTTAATATGCAGATTTTACACTAAATCCATGACAACTACTATAATTGCTTTAGTAAAACCCATAATAGAACAATGCATTAAAATTTTAAAATCTAAGTTGCCAAATTCTTAAACACCTGCTCATTTTGAACTTCCATAAGTGACATTTCATCATTTATATCAAAAACAGGATAGCATGCACTCATGTGGACTTCTGAAAACTCCAAGTTATGCCAAAAATGTATTGCACCCAGACCCTGCCTATGTTGTTGCATTGTTGGCAAGCAGGGATTTCCTGTAACTAAGTAGTTTTGTTCACAAGTGAAATGTACAGTCCAAATTTCACTAACAGGCATTTCCTTTCTTTTTGATTCTGCATACTGAAGTGTGTGTTGGTAATGTTCCTCCACTTTCTGCCAAGTCTCTGTGGCAACAAGTTCAATAATTGCTGCTGATTCCCTTGGATTTGTGATAATTATATCACAATATTTCTGCATGGAGCATCCATCATCAATTACACAAAGACAACATTGAGCCTCAACATAGTAATCAAGCCATTGTTTGAACCAATTGGACAATATACTTGTTAATTCCTGTTGGTATACACTTTCTCTAGGCACCAACACATTATTCTTGCCAATGTCTACATGAGCTTGTTTGTGAGAGTGCTTTGTTGCATTTATGAGTGTTTGCTGGTCAAAACAATATACAGCTGCCTTGAGAGTTCCCAATAAATCCAAAGATTCATCCAGTTTAGAGGGAGGTTGATATTTTGGAAAACATGGGAAAAATGCTGGTATAACACACTGCTGAATGACAGCACTTAATAGTGGTGAAGCCATCATGAAGGTATATGGTTCCTCACCAGGCCGTAAGATCCCATGCCTGGATAGGAATATGACTTTATCATCATCATTGTAGTTGACACTTACTTGGGCATAAGGGTCATACAAAAAATGAGATCGAAGAAAAACCACATATTCTTTTGAAGTTGATGCTTTCAGTGTAGTTATGATGCTCTTAAAAGTTGCATACTTGAACAACTCTGGAATCAAGTAAGTGATAACAAATTTCTTCCATTTTGCAACAGGGAGATGGCGCAATTCAAGAAGCCTAGTCATTTTATCATCAATCGCTTTCCCACATATACATACAAGATTAGCATGTCTAAAAGGAATTAATACCAAAAGTTGGGTATTTAACTTTGAATGGTTCAACATCTAAGACTACAAAACATACCCATTTGTTTGCCAATGAATATCTTCAACAACATTGGAATCTATTGTGATGCTTCGATCTGAAGCAAACACAGTGAAAAGTGATTCAACTTCTTTATGGGTTAAATTAGGATTCTGAAAGGGGTTTTGTATATTGAATGGAGATGTATAATTGTTGGACTCTAGAGCAAGAATGGCAAAAGTCCCAACAGCAACTACTGAATGGAGAGGAACTCCTGTCATGTGCTTGATAGCACGAATAGTACTCAGACAACCATCCCGGATCTCAGCAGCTGCACTGTACAGCCTATCAAACTCATCAATGAAGAGGACAACAGGTTTTTCATAGGTGCGTTGTGCAAACCATTTAAGGAAATCTCCTCTACATCGAAGGGGAGGACATTCATCAAAGCTACCTTGACAACTTGATCTAAAATTATTGTCTAAATCATGCCAAAAAAGTTCTTCTCCTTGGTCAATACAGATATTTTCAAAGGTTACACTAAATGGGATAATAAAAACAGAAAAAAATATTAAATTCAACAATATGAATATTATGATTGAGAAGATATGAACTTACTAAAAGCAAATGAATCCAAGTTCTGTGAGCTGGTGCATGGCTACATAAGCTCATGTTGACTTGCCTGATGCTCGAGGACCATTTCGATAACTATAATCACTTCTAATATTACCATCATCACTAGCATTATTGTTGTTTTCTGAGGCAGATCTTGTCGATGAAATCTTATCAACCCTGGTGTAATTTGAAGTTCTAAATATGGAATTGTAACGGCTGAAAAATTCTTCCTTTGATTGAAATCTATTGGTGTTTCTGATTGCAATATCACATAGCATTGAATGAACAATCCATGGAAACGACATCAAATTCTCTTCACCATCTTTATCTATTTCAGCAGGATGGTATGTAACATAATACCAAGCAAATGCTTTCGCCTCCATTCTATTGCGAGCATCTGGTGATGGTAAATTTGTACCTTCTCCATAAAACTCTTCTTCAAATACCTTACGGTATTGCTTTTGAATTGCTGTTACTGCATCCATCACTGATTTTTTTACTTCACGTGGCTTTTTCTGTTCGACCTTGATTGTAGGATTGACAATGAAACCACTGACTGTCTCGTACTCGGACATCACTCCAAACTGATTTATTAGACTACGTATGTCTGAAGTGTATGAACGTTTGTTGAATCTTGCATCTTCTAAATACTCTTCAAACCCTGGAACATATAACCTTTCATCAAAAGTAATGTTTGTATAAGGATCAAATGGTTCTACTTCAATGGAGCGATACAATTTACCAAGAATTTTTTCTGATTCATAGACTGGTTTGTCAGGTTTCTCCATAAAATCAGGATACTTGGATGGACGAAGTTCGACTGGAAATTCAGCCGGTATACCTGTTTTTGGAAAATCAACAGCCTCAGAATGTAATTGTGCCAACCTTATACATTGTCCATGAAATGCTCCACCACTCAAATAATCCGCTTTTGCTAAATGGGAATTGGCTATACTGCCTAATTGATCAGAGAGAATATAATTCACAAAAAATTTCTTTATATGCACCATCTTAACTTCATCTACTATTGCAGCTTTTGGTGCTTCATAGTTCATTGGTTCCCAATTTTTGTTTTTTGTGATTAAATTTTGATCCCAAAAGGTGCTTTATGTTAAATAAATGGTTTTATGCCACAAATTAATTAAAGCAACTAAATTACATACGTGAAATCATCTCCATCTAGATCTCCGCCACTACATTGACTAGGAAGATCACGATATCCCAATGTTGGAAATACTAAAACATCTACAAGATAATCGAGAGCTTTAACTTTAACAGCAGTAACAACTCTGATATCACCTGGATGAAAACATGGATTTCTAAATACTACACAAGGGCCTGTAATTACTGTTCTATAAGCTGGGTTTTGCGGATCAGATATACAACAATAAACTGCATCTGCCTTCAAGGACTCTGGT